TTTAAGCCACCGGGTCTGGGACTTGAACTGTGGTCAACTACATGGGAGTCCAGTGATTAACTATTAAGCCTTATACTGGTCCAGTCCTTCCAGTTTCTTTTTTTTTTTTTTAATAAATGCCTTTTTAAAAAATATAGAATTATTTAATTTAACTTTATTGTTATTAGTTTTTTTACCTTGACCAGAGAAAGACAGAGAGAGAGAGAGGGAAAGTGAGGAAGCAAGCCGCCAGGTCTGGAACTGTAACCACAGTCAACCATGTGGGAGTCCAGTGCCTCAACTACCACGCCACCTGCAGACCCCAAGCCCCTGCAGTTTTAATTAAGTCATCCTTTGTACTCACTTTTGAATTGAGCTCTGCTTACCAGAAACAGCTGCATCTCTCTAGAACCACACAGAACATGTGTACTCATCTTCACCAGGGCAGTTCATTCAATATGTCTCGACTAACTCTTGGGCCTGGGCTGTATGTTGCTAATCTGCCTGACCCTTTTTTTTGGAGAGGGTTTTGCTACAGGGCATGTGCACTCATCAGGAAGACAGAGAGAAAGAGAGAGAGAGAGACGGAAAGCAAGGAATCACCCCCCTGGGGTGATGGCCATACCGCAATCCCTTCTCTTCCATTCTCCTCTTGGGATCTTGGGCACTCATGCACACACGCCCAGCGTGAGTTTAAGCCACTGGGTCCAGGACTCAAACCATGGTCGACTACATGGGAGTCCAGCTACATAGCCCTTACGCCAACTGCTGGTCCCTAATCTTCCTGATTCTTCAACCCCAATCTTCTTGACAAACGTTATCTTTCATGCCTGAGTAACTCATGAAATACATCCCTGGCGTACATCCCCTTGCTATGAAATTCCAGTGTATTATCCTAACTTTTGTATCCTTCAGGCCGGCCCAGGTTGCCCCAGAATGATTAAGAAGATCTTGGTTGGGTGAGACACACACACTATGGGGCGGCTCTTAGCCTCCCCTGTCCTGGCTGTGTGACCTTGGACAAGTTCTCAGCCTTCTCTGAGCTTCATTTTCTTCATCGGCCAAATGGGGTTAAAGACCTTTAGCTTGCAAGTGGTTGTGCAAATTAAACGGTAAAAGGCCAGCAGAACATGGAGTTCAGTAATTGGTGGCTATTCTGGTTTTTAAGAGGGGAAGATGGAGAATTTCTTGAGGGGCAGAGCAAGAGAACTGGTTCTTGCTGGAGCTACAGGGTGGGGCCTGAGTTCTGAGGTGAACGCATCTCATGCCAGAGAGACCGTAAGACGATCTCGTGGCAAACAGCTGGAGCCCACCACTGCAGGCCTTGAGCCCAGCGTCAGCCCCGCCTGTCCCAGCAAAGGGGCCTTGGGGTTGACACAGCTGGTGCCAAGTCAGATGGGGTAGCAGCCAACTTTCCAGTCAACCCAGATGTCTCTCACAGATGTAAACTCAAAAACATGGCCTCAATCAAAATGACTTTGGAGAGTCTGGCAGGGGGACTGCAGAGGCACTGAGCTGGGACCTGGAGGGTCAGCTGGGCATATTGTGCATCTATCGCTCCGAGGGAAGGGAAGAGGGAACCATAGGTCAGTCAGGTTGACTCTCCAAGCCATCTCCCTGAGGAAGAGGGTGTTATGGAAGAGGAGGGACGTCTGTGCTATGCCACTGAGACTGCAAGGCAGTCTTTTTCCATGTCAGAAACAGCACTAGTGGACCAGCCTGGGGCCTGGTGGTTAAAGAGGCTGGATCCCATATGGCCAGCTGTGCTGTTTGAATCCCAGACTTGCGACTTGAGAAACACGCCAGGTGTATGTGTGTGTATGCCCAAATCCCGAAAGAAGGCAGAAATGGAAAAGAAAGGATTGAGGCATGACCATGTCTTACGTGTGTGTCGGGGGGGGGTGGTGGTGCTTTCTCATTTTCCCTCACTCTCCAGCAAGTGCATGTGCCCTCTAGCAAAGAAAGAAAGGATGAAAGAGGAAGGAAGGAAGGGAGGGAAGGAAGGAAAAAAAAAGAAGAAAAAAGAAAAGAGCAGCCCAGGCTGGAGGTACAGTTGGTAGCACTGGTCTGCCATGCCAATTACGGGTCTGGATTCCTGGCCCAGTGGCTTGAAAGGCACCAGGTACGCATGCACCTGCCCAAGATGTGACAAGCTGGAGGAAGGGAACCGTGGCCTGAACAGACCCTACCAAGGATGCTTTTCTTTTCTCTCCCCCCTCCTTCTCCCTCTCCCCTTGCCCTCTCTCGTGCACATGCATATACTTTCAATCATGAATAAAATAAATAAACCTAAAAAAATCATTTAAAGAAAGAAGTGTATTCTCTAAAAAGCAGCAGCATTCTACAGGGACCTTCTCGCCAGTCCGGCCCAGAGCCTCAGAAGCCACAGGTGTGAGAGGGGAAGCCATGAAGGCACGTGCTCCCAGGCTGCTCCCTCGCTTACTCCCATCACCACCTGATTCTGCCTGACCACCTCCTTGGCATGACAAAGCCTTCCCCGAGAGTCACAGCCCAATCGTATCAGAGAATAGAGGCTCTGAAGGGCACAGCCACTAGGGTCAAGGACGCTCCAGAACCCAGAGGTCCTGCCAGTGTCGCCAACACACCCCCCCAGCCCACCCCAGCAGCTCCCGTCTCTTCCTGATTCTCACACAGTAGCTTGCCTGTCATGACTACTTAAAGAAACATCCCTGGCCCAGCCCCAGGCTCAGGCCGGAGCTGGTGGCTGGCACCCTATCAACACAAACAAGGTTCCCCGTGTCTTGCCCGTTCTCTATACAATGCCCAGCTGCACTTTAATGCCGTTTAAATGTTTACGTTGCCCTGGCCTTTGTTATTTCTTGTTCAGTGTGCTGGAATGCTTGGCATTTCAGGGTCTGTACCCTGGGTGTTCAGATTGCTGGGCTGTTCTGAGCACAGTGGGGGAGGGATGCTGCCAGAAGCTGCCACCTAGGCCTCAGGGAGGGGCAGGGGTACCTGGGGGTGCAACTGGTGTTCTGTACCCATGTGTGCATGCGGGGCATCGTCTCTGTTCCTGCATTCACCACCACAGGCTGGATGAGGCTGGCTGCCTTTACCAGGGCAGGTTCTTTGGGTATCGACTGTGCTGAGCTCATGAGGCTGGCCCTCCACTGGGACCAGGAGCGGGGCAGGCGGTGGCCAGGCAGCCTCTGGCCTACTCTCCTGTTCTGTGACGTCTAAGTGAAGGCTTCCCATAATCCTTGGACTTTGTCACCTCTTTGGCTGCCCTACCCCAATCATTCTTCAGATCTCATCCTGGATGTCAGTTTCTCTAAGAAGCTTCCCAGCCCCCCTCAGCTCAAGCAAAGGAGCCCCTGCCCCACAGCGTACACACGTGTAGGCTGTGCATTGCACAAAAGTACCACAGCTCAGGAAACCTGGCATCCCGGATTTGTAGATTTATGTTCGTGATTCTGAAAAATAGGAGAAGCATCCTTTCCTGATTCGCACAAAGGTGCTAGAGGATCCACGGGTGGCCCTAGTCCCACTGTCTGTATCCCCACAGCACTCTCCTCCTTATTTCTGATGCCCACCCACTGTCTATGGCCCCCACCAGATAGTGCGCTTGGAGAGGGAGGCCCTGTCTCTCCCCACTCTCCACTCTCTGTCCAGGGCCTGCGTGCTGTGGGTACAGGGGCCTGGCCAACGTAAATACTTGTTGGCTAAATAGAATGTGGGGTATAGAAGTCTCAAGGGTCAGGCTGGTGGGAAGGAGGAAGGAAAACAAGGAAAAGAAGAAAAGTGGTCAACAGGAGAGAGGCTGAGCTGTTCAATACATTCCTTCCTGTGGGCCAGTGTGTCCTTCTCCCTTTCTCAAGGGATACCTTTTAATAATAATAGTAATAGTAATAGCTATGGTTTATTGACCCAAGGTTAAGCACAGGCATCAGCTCATTTAAACCCACCAGCAGGCCCATGAGGCTGGCATTATTACTGCCCCAATTTTACAGAGCAAGAAGCTGAGCAGAAAGGTTGGCGGGCAGGGCTGGAGGCCGGCTACCTGGTATGGAACGCGTGCTCAGGCCTAGAGCTGAACACCACTCTTTGCTGCTTCACTGAAAATGCTACCACACGGTGAAATCGTCTGCACTTATTTTTAGTTTGGAAAATACAGTCACTGCTCCAGCGGAGTCTGATGTTAGGAACAGTCCTGTCCCTCCCATATTTGGGCTTCCGTCCAGGCCCCCCACAAAGCCGACTCTCCAAGTCCACTGCTGACGGGCAAAAGTAACACACGCCAGGCCCAGGCCCAGGCCTGGGAATGAGGCCTAGAGGGGAGACAGGCTAAGTGGGCAGAGGCCAAGCTCCAGCACAGGCACCTGGTCGCCTCATCCCAGCTGCAAGACCAAGGCCTACGAGCTGATGAATGGGCATTTGCGCACTCTGCATCCTCAGCACGTGGCACACAAGACGCATGTGAATACTGGCTGAATGAATGAGTGAAGACAGGGTAGGACTTCCTCTGCCACCCAAAAGGAGGCAGGGAACTGGGGTACCCCAAGGCTGAGGACATTCTGGAATGTATGTTCGACCCCGGTTCAAAGGCGGTTCAAAGGCACAAACAGAAGGTGAGGTGAGATGGAGGCCCGGGGTCCCTCCAGGGAGAAGATAAGGAAAAAGTTGAGTCACCAAATACTGATTCACCAAATCAAGACCTCTGAGCTCCTGATATCTGGGCAGGGATGTATGTGGGAGGGGGCACTGAACAGGATCCCTAAAATCTGAGCAAGAATGACATTGAGGAGGGGCCCTTACGGGCAGTTAGCCAGGACAGGTGGGCTGGGCTGTGCCCTGCAGAGAAGCAGAGTTGGAGGAGCCATCAGGAGCCTAGAGGCTGGCTGCAAGCACCCTGCAGGCAGATCTGGAAAGCCTACACAGCTCACCAGCCTGTTCCACCTGCCTGGCCTCTGAAACCCTGCGGGGTTGAATGAGGTACCCTGCAGAGGCCAGGCTCTGCGAGCGCTTCCCAATAATCCTTGACCTTGGCACCTAGCACTCACCTGGTCTGGGTGGGCACGGCGCACATGAAGTCACCCCCCAGAAGGCTCCCACACTGCCACAGCAGTCCTCTTGAGTAGTCAGCTCCAGCAGGGGGTTGGCACACTGAAAAAGAGGCCATGGACACCAAGAGGTTCTCCCGCCCTCATGCACGAGATGACCCGGGACACTGAGCTCACTCCCCCACACTTTTTCCAGAGGATACTCTCACCCAAAGGAGGGGAAAAGGGAGTCAGTCAATGTACCAGAAGGAAGCAGAGAGACCTATGGCCCCCTCTGCAGACCCTGACCTGGGGGAGGAGGGCACACCCTAGACAAAGATCTGCATTGTACAGGTCTGCAAACTGCCACCCTCCATGGCCCTAGCCCTTAGATAGTGTCTCAAAAAATAGCCTTTCCTCCATCCACCTCCGGGGAACTCCAGTGTCATCCACAGTGTGGGCCTTCCCGGTGGAGGAACCCCCGGCTCAGGGACACCACAAGCCGAGGCCAGGGTGGCTCTGTGGACTTGAGGGCTTTCCCCTTGGCCACCTCACTGCCTCCAGTTCCTTAGTCTCAGAAGAATTTCTAGAAACATTAAACTAGAACTCCCAGAAAAACCATCCTGGGCCTGGCCTAACCCTATTCCTGAGTGCCTGGCCTCAGAAGAACTCACCTGATTTCCCATCAAGAACTGTGAACTTCTCTGGAGGGAATGGAGTCTCTCATCAGCACCATCAGGCCTGGGGTGTGGTCTGCATTGCTAATTCCACATCTCCGTGACCCCAGTCTCAACTGCTCAACTCCCTCCCGACCCCCATACTAATGGCTTTCCTGTTCATGTACCTGGGGTCCTAGGCTCAGCTCTGATATCCGGGGATTACTGGGACCAAACTGGAGGCTGCTGGCACCCAAGGACACTGCTGAAAGCTCCTCCAGGGGACTTCCTTGGGCCCTCTTCTGCATGCTGGGAATGGAGCCCAGGTGGGAGGTCTAGGCTCTCTCTACTGGGGAATTATAAGCCCTGGCTCTCCCACCTGGGATATGGGAGATTCTGCAGATACAGCCGACAAGAACAAGGACAGGGAGTAGGACCAGGGCAGGCTGGCCGGAAGACGGCTGTTCTGGAAGCCTCCAGGGCTGAGGCAGGGACCGCTTTCTCACCTGTCCATTCACAGTGCTCAGGTAACATCGGCCCAGCAGTCCCCGAAGCCTGGGCACTGCTGGGGGTGGGGCCCGAGGGGGCTCTCCAGACCGAGCAGGGATGCTGTTGCTGTCCAGGTGGCTGTGGCCAGGGCTGGCGGGGAGCCGGGGTGGGGGTCTGGTCTCCAGGCTGTTCTCCTCCACCTCACCCCGCACCCGTGCCACCTGGTGGATCTGCACGGAGGCCTCAGGCGGGTGGTCAATGTGCACCTTCACCAAGGATGGGTTCACGGAGGCTGGGTACAGGGGTTGGGGTCAGAGCCAGGAACAGGCCCCCGCCCTCACTTTCCCGCCCTCTGAAGGGCAAACCGCCACACTGCACTGGGTGGGCCACTGGCTGGGTGTTGGGTGTCTCCCCATTTCTCTGCTCCCCACTTTAGCCCCTGGAACAATCCTCCTGGGACGGCGGGGTGGTGTGACACTTCCTTCACCTTATTATCAAGGCCCACCTCGCTCATGGTTGTGCGCTTCGCCTGAGCTCCAGCCCACGGACCCTTCACGGCCCCCCCCTCCACGCCTTTGTCATGCCAGTCCCTCTGCTTAACCAAATGCTGACTGTCACTCAAAGCCTAACCGAAGTTCAGCCCTCCACACACACAGCCTTCCTGGAGTGCTCAGCATCAGGGCCCTCTCCGCCCCTGACCTAGGAATTCTGTATTTTGGTGTCCTTTATTGGAGACAGAGAAAGTGAAATGACTCCTGGATATTCTGTTTCCCATTACCCTCCCGCTATAGTCCAGCACTGTGGGACCCTCCAGGGCAGCACTCAACCCCTCTTCTGTCTTGTATTCCCCCAGAGACCAGCACAGGCGAGGGCATAAACACAGATGAATTCCGCGGGAAGGGGCAAGAGAAGTTTAGGGAGTGAACCGGGCGGAGGGTGGAGGAGGTGGAAGGTTGGGGGCCTGGAGACTGCCTCTGGGCCCCTTCCAGCACAGTTGCCCCGCCCACACCCTTCCTGCCCCCCCCCCCTGCTCTGGCACTCACCCAGCTGGTTGGACAGAGGCAAGGTGAAGGTGGACTGCCTCAAGGGGCCTTCCTGTGGGGCCCGGCGGCGGGAGCCCCTCTCTGGAGGCTCCCTGGGCAGCTGCGGGGCAGGCAGGTGGCAGAACTTCCCAGTCGAGTTGGCAGGGCACCAGCACTCGTCCCTACCGATGCAGCGGCCTCCATTCAGGCAGGGGATCTGGCAGAAATCTACGACATGGACCCTCAGAGTGACCGAGGTGGGAAAACAGCAGCACCCACCATGTCGGGGTAGGAGCCCAAATCTGGATGGCCTGCAGCACCCAGCACCCCCTGAAATGTGGGGACTCTCCACAAGGGCCAGGATGAAGGGTAGGTAGAGACCAGCCCTTGGCTTTCTAAGTTCCCTGGAGACAGGGCAGTGACACTGTAATAAACTCCCTCACTTGTCTGTTGAGGAAACAGACTCAGAGAGGTTACGTGACCTTCCCAGGGTCACACAACTGGGCTGAGACAGAGCTGGGTGAGAACTCACCACTCATGTAATTTGGAGCCATAGTCTGAGAGCAGTGGGAATCCTTCCTACAGAGGAGCAGGTTCCAGTCCAAGGTCCCCGCCTCCCAGGGCCAGCCCAGAGCCATCCAAGACAGAGAAGGGACTCACAGATGCGGAAGCCAGACTTAGGGTCATGTCCATGGCCACCCTGGCTGTACAGGGTGGTGGTGTCGCCCCGCTCACAGCTGTTGGCACAGTGCCCACGGGCACAGGTCTGCTTGCAGATGGTGGGAGTGAAGACGATCTTGATCTTCTTGATTTTCTCCGTGAGGTTCAGCCCTGCAGAGAGAGGGCTTGGGTCCAGGGGGCAGGGCTGAGAGGCACAGCTGTGACCTCCAGAGCCTGGATAGAAAGGCCCATGGGATTAGGGGTGCATCCATCCCAAGGGCATTTGCTGAGGGCCTGCTGGACACAAGGTCCCATGGTGGGCAAGGTAATAACTTGAGGAAGCTCACAGTGGGCCAGCCACCAAGCTCAGGCTCTGTGCGCACCCACTCTCAACCCTCTTTAGTGGGTATTGCTTTAGGTCGAACCACTAGAAATGGCTGGTTTTAAAGGTTAAAATGGCTAGTGTTAGCAGTTTCCCTATGTCCTGCCTAATTTCATCTGCAGCGAAGGAAGATGAGGCTCAGAGCAGTTTAGGCTGCCCCAAGTTGCACAGCTAGCAAGCACTGTGGCTGGGTTCTGAACCCCAGGTCAGGGGATGGGATACAGCCCAGGCTGGCCAGAGAGGGGAGTCTTCTAAGAGAAGAGTGGAAGGCAAAGCCTGAGGACGGATCAGAGGCAGGTTGTGGGGACTCTGATCATCACTTTATCTGATGGGTAACAGGGAAGCCATAGAAAACTTTCCAGAGACCAAAAAGGAAGTGTGGGCAGACGAATGTGGGTGATCAGGATGCAGGTGACCAGCGCTGTGAGCTGAGGTCAATTCATGTGACAAGGGCGGTAGCGGTGGGAGTGCAAAGAAAGGAGATATGGGGAACCCAGGAAGGGAACCCAAAGGAAGGGATGGGTGGGAGGAGGAGGAAGAAGTATATGCAGTCCATGGGTCACGAAGCTTCACTGTGACAGGAGGGGACAGAGAGGAAGCCCAAGGGATGAGGAGAAATGTGTGGGGGTGGGTGGGAGGGGGGATTACACGTGCGTGAGTGCTACCAGGAGAGCTGAAAACAAGGGTATATGCGAATGGAAATGACCGAGAGGGAAAGGTTGAAGACACAAAGGTGAGGGGTGTGATGGAGGGGACACACAGGGGATGACTTCGTGTTCTAGAACAAACAAGAAAGGCATGACGTGTTGCTTAGGCAAGAGGGACGCCTAGGACCAATAGGTGGCATGGTGGTTAAGGTGCTGGACTTCCACATGGTTGACCGCAGTTTGAGTCCTGGAACCAGCAGCTTGAAACTCGCACTGGGCACGTGTACGTGTATGCTCGACATCCCAGAAGGAGAATGGAGGGGCAGGGACAGCAGCATGGCCATCTTTCCTGGGGGATGATTTCTTACTTTCACTCTCACTGTCTCTCTGTCTCTCCAGAAAGCACAAGGGCCTTATGGCAAAAACCTTAAAAAAAAAATTTAAAAAATAAAAAAAAAAAGAAAAGAAAAGAAAAAAGAGGGATACCTCTCTTTCAAGATGGCAGGAAAGGAAGTCATCAGCCACAAGTAGGAAGGAGGGACTGGTTCGTGCAACCACTTGGATACACCTCAAAAACATTACTCTAAGTGCAGGGAGCCAGACACGAAGGGTCCAGCTTGTGTAAACGTCTGGGCTTTGCAAGTCTAGAGACTGAAAGCTCACAAGTGGTTGCCAGAGGGGAGGAGAAGAGGGAGTGGCTGCTTAACGGGTACAGGGTTCCTTCTGGATTGAAGAAAATGTGTAAGCAGAGAGTGGGGATGGTTGCACAAAACTGTGACTATACTAAAAACCATGGATGTGTACACATTGAGTGGTTAGTTATCATTTTTAATTTGCCAGAGGGCGTGTGCCTTGCCCGGAGAAACAGAGAGAGGGAGGGAAAATGAGAAAGCACCTCCCCGTGAGGGATGGTCACGTGGCAATCCTTCTCCATTTCTCCTTCCTTTCGGGATTTTAGGCATGCATGCACATGCGCTCGGCACGTTTCCCAGGCTGCGCAGTTGGCCATGAGGGATCTAGCTGCCTTAACCACCACGCCACCAGCTGGCCTGAAATGGCTACTTTTATGTTAGAATTTGCCTCCATTTTTGTAAATGAAAAGAGAAGAAAGGCGGTGTGCTTGGGCGTGGATGGAGATGAGACAGTGGCAGGGCAGGCCGGCAGGAGGCTGAGGGCCCTATAGGAGATGGGGAATTTCCATGGCTGACAGGATGGGGCTTGGAAAGTAGGGGAGGCTTGGAGGTGCTGCTCCAAAAAATGAGAGAGAAAATGTCCAGGCACACGAGAAGGGCTGTGGCCAATAAACCATGTGTGTGGCCAGAGTCTATAGACATGGGGGTGTTTCTTCCTGTGGGAGCCAAAGACCCAGAGCTCAAGAAGCAATGGACAGGTGGGTCCAGGAGGGTCGGGGTCTGCATGGAGGATGAGGTGGAAGGAGCAGAGAGTTGAGGTTCCTGGCTGGCCAGGGAGGAAGCCAATGCAGGAAAGGATGACAAACTGGACAGGTAAAGAGTGGTGAGGTCTAAAGGTCTCGACAGGCAGAATCCAGACCAGCTGGTTTAGGACCCCTGGATCCCGGCCCAAAGCAGCTGCTTAACAAGTGTTTGTTGACTGAGGAAAGGAATGAAGGGCAAGGGGACAGTTTAGTTCTTCTGTGAGAGAGGAGGGAGAGGCAGATGTGGAAAGAAGAGGCATCAAAGATTTAGATGCCCTGTTCTTCTAGGGCCTGAGAGGGGGCATCCTTACCCCAGGGGGTTGAGGGGTGGTCCAGATGTGCAGGTCGCTGGCTGCCATCCCTCTGCTCAAGGCCTGGTCCTGCAGGCAGGGCATTAGAAGTCAGCTGGCCACTGGCAGCAGCGGCTGGGTAGAGCCGGACAGTCCGGGACAGCCCTATGTGCTGCTGGGAGGGGCGGAGCTGGCTGGGCTCACTCAGGGTCCTGTGGAGATGATCAAGGCACAGAGGTTTGCATCTCAGGAGCGCCCTCTGTGCCCTCCCTCATCAGGCTGCTACCTCCCTGTCTGCTGTAGAAGAACGCTCTCTGTCCTGTGGCTTCTCCTTACCCATGAGTGGGTCAATGGAGGTGCCCCAGGGTAGGAGGACTGACCTGACCTGAGGCCAGCTAGAAGTTCTGTAGAAATACCTACTCTTAAGTGGAATAGCCAGACTTTTGCTGGGTAATCTGGGCAAGTCTCTTAGCCTCTCTGGGCCTCAGGGCCCTTGACTGCAAAGTGAAGATGTTAGGCTGGTACCATGTAGTCTGATGTTCTGAGAATTTGAGAACATCAGAGATGTTTACTTAATGACCAGCTCCTGCCCTGAAACCAAGTCTTGTCCTACTCGCCACTTCTTAACACAACCTTTAATATGATTCACCTGTGGAACAGGTGCCAACGAACTCACATTCACAGATCGATTCGGGGTAGACTTAGACTCTCCCTCTCATTAGTATATATTACAAAATAGTATGAGTTCATCACCCCCGACCCCAACATAGCGAATACTTTTGCCTGTTTCCTTCCAACCTTTGTTCATATATACAATTTTATACTACTGTTCATCACCGAGAGATATAATTTAAAAATCTGATTTTTCACTTAACTTTATATCATACTTTATGTAATTCTGCATTTTTTATATTTATTGTTTTCATTGTACATGACAGTGTATTTGAAGGTGAATCACAACTTATTCAGACATCCTCCTGTTACATATTTAGATTATTGTTACTTTTTTTAAAGAATTATTTCCTTGAGAACCAGCAGTTAGCGCAATGGCTATGTCGCTGGACTCCCATGTAGTCGACCACCGTTCGCGTCCCGGACCCGGTGGCTTAAAACTCACGCTGGGCCCGGGTGCGTACGTGCCCAAGATCCCGAGAGGAGAATGGAGGAGAAGGGATTGCGGCGTGACCATCCCCTCTGGGGGGTGATTTCCCACTTTCTGTCTCTCTGTCTCTGTCTGTCTGGTGAATGCACACGCCCTATAGTGAAAACCTCTCCATTATTATTATTTTTAATTTGACCAGAGTGAGACCCACAAAGAAAGAGAAAGTGAGAAAGCAAGCCACGAGGTCCAGGACTTGAACCATGGTCAGCCATGGGGGAGTCCAGCGTCTTTAATCACTGTACCACCTGCTGGCCCCAGATTATTGTTACTTTTTAACTGTGGGCATTCTTACACATATTCCTTTTTTTTTTCTTCTGTTAAAATACTCCTTTAGAGGGGCGGACCAGCAGATAGCATAATGGCTATGTTGCTGGACTCCTATGTAGTTGACTGTGGTTTGAGTCCCAGATCCAGTGGCTTAAACTCACACCAGGCATGTGTGCGTGCGTGCCCAAGATCCCGAAGGAAGACTGGAGGAGAAGGGATTACGGCCGTGGCCATTCCCCCTGGGTGGGGGGTAATTTCTCGCTTTCTGTCTCTCTTTCTGGCGAGTGCAGGCATCCTATAGCAAAGTAAATAAATAAATAAACTCTCAAAAAAAAAAATACTCCTTTAGAGACCAAATGGTGACACAGTAGTTAAGGAGCATGAATCCCATATGGCCAACAGTGCTATTTGGGTCCTGAACCTGGTGGCTTTAAAAACACACTGGGTGTGTGTGCGTTCATGCCCAAAATCCCGAGAGGTGAATGGAAAAGAGGGGATTGCACGGTGGCCAGCCCTCTTGGGGAGTGTTTCCTTACTTTCCCTTTCTTTCTGTTTTCTTCAACAAGCATACACACCCTATAGTGAATTTAAAAATAATAATAAAATAAAATATTCCTTTAGTATAGGGGCATTCACTGTACCATCCCATCTTATACTACGAGTTGGAAACTTTTTTGTAATACACATTTTGAAAAGGTTATTACTTTAAAGCTAGTTCTGTGAGCTGCCATGACTGTAGCCAAGGTCACAGTTGTCTATGGTTCTGTGCACACTGGTGTGTTGCTCTTCCTGCTAGTACTATGAGCAGCAGACTTGCACCCTCACAGGCACCAACGGTATCACCCTGCTCCCAAAGTCTGGGGGCCTAAGTGTAGAAAGGTGCTATTAACCACCCCAAAAACACTGGGAGCAGAAATGGGCCAGAACTGGGAGCTCAAACCTCAGGCTTCTCCTCCTCCTTAATCCCAGAAGGTCAGAACAGCCAGCTGCAGCAGAAAACACAACCTTTCCAACTACTTCCAAGTGAGTGCCTGAGAGGGAGAGGTGGGCGAGCTGGGAGGTTGCTGGGAGCCTTCTCCTGGAGCACCAGGCTGTTGTTAGTGCCAGCACCACAAAACACCTTCAAGTGGTGCCAGGAGTAGCTCATGCCCTGCTAAGACCATCTGCCTTTTTATTTATTTTTTCTTTTTTTTAACTTGACCCTGACAAAGAGCTCTCAATCTGGTCAAGATGGAAACTCAAAGGGTTCCTTCTTGGTGGTTTGTTGTCCTTGTCAGTTATTGTTGCTGTTATTTGTTTCTCTTATTGAAATTCAATGCTAATGGCATCAAGATTCCCGAACTCAAATCCCTTAAGGGCTAGTTGGTTAGCTTTGCAGGGGAGAAAGCCAAATAAACAAACCAGGCCTTCCCTAGCTGCAGATAACCCCTGGATAAACAAAGGAGGGTTGGAATCGGGGCCAGACAGATGTCAGTTCTGTCTCTACCAGCAGTATGGCCTTCAGTAAGTCATTCAGCTCCCTTGAGCCTCAGATTCCACATCAGTAAAACACGGATGGAGACTCCTACCTCTGTTGTGAGACTCAGAGGGTAGTGAGGCCATGCAATCACTTTGCAAATATAAGTACATGATCAGAGTCAAAAATATGCCAGAGCTTTAAAAATCACACTAACAAAGGAGGACCAAAGGTTAGCGACAGTTCAGACAGAATACCTCTCCCCAAGCCAAGCAAGAAAATGTGACTGAGTCACTTAAAATTCTTTATCTAAGAGGGATCAAGAGTCCAACCACCCCCAGTAAACAAAAACAAAAACATGTTACTGCTGTCTAAGCATCCATTTATATAAAGACTAAGTGCTGAATGTTGAGGCAGGAGACAGTTAATAAACGGAAGCAGGTAAGGGGGCTGGAGCATCTGTCCATGTGGCTAGACAGAAAAGCCAATCAGTGGGACCAGCAGATGGTATAATGGTTATGTCGCTGGACTCCCACATAGTTGACCGCTGGACTCCCACATAGCTGACAGTGGCTTAAAACTCACACCGGGCAAGTGTGCCTACGTGCACAAAAATCCCAAGATGAGAATGGAGAAGGGATTGCAGTGTGGTCATTCCCCGGGGTGGGAAGGCGGTGATTTCTTGCTTCTGTCTCTCTTCATTTCTCTGGCAAGTACACTATACCAAAAATCTCTCTCTTAAAAATAAATTAAAAATAATGGGGCCAGCAGGTGGTGTGGTGGTTAAGGCGCTGGACATTCCCACATGGCTGGCCAAGGTTCAAGTCCAGGACCTGGTGGCTTGCTTTCTCACTTTCCTTCTCTCTGTGTGTCTGTCTTTCTCTGGTCAAATTAAGATAAGTGAATGAATAAATAAAATTAAATAAATAATAAAATAAATAAATAAATAAATAATAAAAGCCACCACCACCAACAACAGAAAACCGATCAGAGCAGAAAATTCCCTGTCCAAGGTAATGCAGGCAGGAGGTTAGTGGGGGATGTCTACCTAATTAAGCTACCTTTGACATAGCCCAAAAGATGAATCAGTGGGCCCAGCCGCATTTGACACAGCCAAGGAGAAATTAGTAGGCCAAGCCACATTTGATATAGTCAGTGAGATGAGGACAATATGTGGGCACGGCCATTGATCAGCCCACATGCCCTAGATTAAAAATTACACACCTTGTTGAAAGTAACTGCTGGGGGTCTTTTTTTTTTTTTTTTCAATAGGGTACGTGCGCTCACCAGAAAGACAGAGACAGAGAGACAGAAAGCAAGAAATCACCCCCCCGGGGGGATGGCCATGCCGCAATCCCTTCTCCTCCATTCTCCTCTTGGGATCTTGGGCACGCACACACACGCACCTGGTGTGAGTTTAAGCTGCCAGGTCTGGGACTCAAACTGCGGTCGACTACATGGGACTCCAGTGACATAGGCAGTACGCCAACTGCTGGTCCCACTGCTGAGGTCTTTTGAGTCGCTCTCTGTCCACTCAGGCTGGCTCCTACCTCTCAGAAGTGTAATTTTGCTCTTAATAAACTACCTTTTCCTTTCACTATTGGCATGTCTCATTCAATTCTTTGTTTGAAACACCTAAAAGCGGTACATCATCACAGAAGCCATCCTGCAACACCATCACCACTTAGAAGGGCATAGGAGGGGGCGGAGATTGTCGGCTGTGGTGTTTGTAAGCCCGACTGTCTGGCCTTGTGTTATCTTTGTGCTCATTTCCCTTAGTGCAAATAACAAGCCCTTAGCCAAGTCCTGGTTGCTGTCCCATCCTCATCTCAGTTCAGTTATGGGACAATAAGAGAAGGGTCTGGCACCATGTATGGCCCAGGGTGGTTCGAGGCAACTGCGCTCCACCCCTAAGACAATGGAGAAGTACAACAGAGGCAAGCAAGAGCCTCAAAAACAAAGTGACTTTGTCAGACGAGTGCCCCCAGGGAGAGGCTCCATCTACCATCAGCCTTAGAAGAGCTGCTGCAGTTTTATCAAAGGACAGTGGTTCCCAAATTCACTCGACACAAGAGGAGAATTTGCTTCTCTTGAGATTGTTCCAGGGAAGTCCTGACCAAGCTGCCACAGTGGACCAACACAGCCATCTCTAGAGTTTAGGACATCATGGATCCGTATGATTTTGAAACAAATTTGGGAGACAAACGTAAAGAAAAATAGCATAATGGGGACCAGCAGGTAGCATGGTGGTTAAGTCTCTGGACACTCCCACATGGATGACCATGGTTCGAGTTCTGGACCTGGTGGCTTACTTTCTCACATTCTCT